TATGTTATAATTATAATTTAATACTATTTTTATTACAATAAAATAATGTTAAATTATAATTATAACATGTACTAACAGAATAATTTAGTATTATAAAATAAAATTTTTTTTTAAAAAAAAACACAAAATGGCATACTTTATTTAGTATACTAAAAATACATAATTAACAAACTATTTAGTTAATCTATTTGCAGTTTTTTAGTTTTAAGAACTTGACTATTTTGGCTTTTGCTTTACTTTTAGAGGTATTGTATAAAACTTTTAAACATTTTTGAATTTTTGCTTTTAAAATACTCTTTATAGCTTCTTCTGATATAATATTATTTTTCTATCTGGCTTGAGTATACTATAACCAGATTTTATATATCATTGTAATATGAAGCCATAGTGCTGCTTTTCTTTTTTCTTGGTTTTTTATATTTGATACTGTTAGTATTTCTTTTAAAGATTGCAAACATTTTTCTTCTGCTTCAGTTTGACTTATTTCACAATTTATAGCAAAGTAACTTAGAGTTTGTTTTTTATCTACACAGTTTAAACAATTTTTATTTATCTCTTTGCTAAAGTACATAAAGCAATATCCCAATGACAATGCATTATTTTGGAGTCTCCAAAAGATATTCTTTTTCTTGTTAAATATGCCTTTGCACTAAAACCAACTAGAAGTCTTTTTAGTACTATCTTGTAGGCTTGGTAATACTTGTGAAATAGTAGGCTTTATTGAGCATTGTTTAAGAAATTTGGTAGCTCTTTGTACTGTAAACTAGTTTCTTATATTTTTTTAAACTTTTAGCTATGAGACATTCTATGGCCAGTTGATAGTTGCTAAAATAGTTTCTTTAAGTCTCTTCTATACTGTTAAGTATAGCTTCCAGTAATCTGGCCACCTCTTAGGCTTTATTGGTGTTTTAGTAAGAGCTGCTAATGCAGTAAGATTTCTTTTAGTCTAAAGGCTTTGTGAAATTAATGTTTTTTTGATATTATTAGCTTATAAGCTGTTTGTTGAAATTAACTTAATTCAAACTGAGGCAAGCCTAGGATCTAAAATGTCTTTAAGTACAAGAGCATCTAGTCCTCCTTTGTCATAATCTAGCTAAAATATTGAGTATTTTGGTAGCAGTCTAAACTTGTTTTTAATCTAGCCTAAGACTAGTGTAGTAATTTTGTCTAGCTGTTTTCTGTTAGGTGGTAATAAATATGCTATATACCATATTTTGAAGATAAGTAGTGATTTGGACAAAAGGATCATTCCTTTGAAGAACAGGTTTCTGGTCAAGATTTTTCTATTTTGGTTTTGATATTTTGAGTTATTGTATCCTAAACTTGTTTTTGCAGATCTTCTCTAATATTGACTTCAAATCCTAGAATTCTTAGCTGGCTGCTTTCACTTGCAGTTTTGAAAAAGTCTTGGTTTGGAAGACTAATTTTTTTAGTTTCTGATGTTATTAAAATAAAAATAAACTTTTTGTAGTTATCATCAGCATATGCTGCTACTTTAAATTGATATTTAAAAATTTGTATGCTTTTTAGTTTTTCTTGAATTTTTAAAATTAGAGAATTTAAGGCCATAATGTGTAAAAGAGGTGAAAGAGGGTCTCTTTGTCATACTTTACTTTCTACTTTTATTGACTTTGATCTATAGTCTGCATCTAAGATATAAGCTGTCTGTAAACCAATAATGGATCTGATAATTCTTGTAAACTTGTAATCAAATCCATGCTATCTAACACTTGCATTATGTTAAATGCCTTTTGCTGATCTAGCAGCAGTAGCCAATATGGAAGAGTCTGGTTATTTTGGTTACTCATTATTATAATAATGTCTAGTGCTGCATCAATAATTAATTTTTCTTTTATAAAAGCTTGCTGTGTTGGACCAATCATTTCTTCACAGATAAGATTAACTCATTTGACTAGGACCTTTATAAATATTTTGTTATCACAGTTTGTAAATGAGATTGGTCTCCAATTGTTGAGATCAGAAAGATTGTTCAATTTTTTGGGTATTAAAATTATAATGCTTTTGGCCCAGGACCTTGGTACTGTGTCTGTATTCAGATAGTAATTGAACAATTTAACTATTACTAGAAGGATTTCATTTTTAATTTCTTTGTAGAATTTATAATTAAAACCATCCAACTCTGGCACTTTATTTTTTGGAAGCTGGTTAATTATAGCATTAACTTTCTCTTCTGAAATGTCTTTAGTTAGGGCCTGGTTATGTGACATTGTTACTAATGATAGGTTTTGTGTAAAGAAATCTGTTGCCTCTTTGTCCACTTCTTTGGCTTTGTATATATCTTGATAAACTTCTTTTATATAATGCAAAACATCTGAAGGGCCCTGGGCTTGATTACTATTAGAAATTTGAACTTTGTCTTTAACTGATATTCTATTTCTAATTTTGTAAAGTGAGTAGAAAAACCTAGTAGATTTTTCTCCTTTCTCTATTTATTTGGTGTTTGACTTAATTTGCCATTTGTTTAACAGATCTTGTTAGTTGGTTTTTTTTGAAGTCTTTAAATTTTTTTTTCTGATAATAGTTGAGGTCTAAATGCTCTTGCAATTGACTGTATTTTGCATTTATGTAGATCCTACTTGGAAAAGTCAACAATGCTTGGACTTCTTCAAATATTTTTGCTCGAAGTAATGGGTTGTTCCAACTGCTTTTGTCAAATCTTTACTGTTTGGTCTTAGTGGAAGTAGATGCTAAATAGAGCTTACATTCTACTAGCAAATAGTCTAAGTTTCCAAATTGAGTTGTAACATATTTATAGCAATGATCATATTTAGTATTAATAAAGATATAATGGAGTCTTGTAGCTATTTTATAACCACCTCTTGTGTTTGGTAGTAGGTAACAAAGGGTTCTTATCTTTGTATTAGGCTTGCTGTATCTATAAATTCTGTAATAAGATTTTTAAGCATTTCTCTTGTAGGATTACTAGTAAAAGATGAGCAGCTAATTCTATTAATTTGAGAATCAAGATTTGTATTAAAATCTTCTGCTAAAATGTTTATAAAACTTTCATCTATTTGAGAAGTCCAGTTGTTAAAAAAATTAGTTTTATCTTCAATATTTGGAGGTGCATAAACATTGATAATTTTGAATAGTTGTTATTGTAAACTAATTCTGCAGCAATAACTTGCTCACTATAAGAGTTCTTAATGTTTATAAGTGTAATATTCTTGTTATTATCTGCCAGTATTGCAGTTTTTAATATCCAATGTAAGCAATGGCCTCATTGTTGTTGTAAAAATTTTCTAGAATTTGAATTTTCTAAATTTATTTCTTGGAGCATTATTATATCTTAGTAATAGGATTTTAGTAAAGTTAAAGTTTTGTGTGCTTTGTTTATATTATTTAAATCTTTAATATTTAGTGTTGCAATTTTGATTTTTTTAATCATAATAAATATATTGGTAATATAGATGAAAGATAGCTTAGTAAGGGTTTCTTCTAACCTTCAGATCATCCTTTTCTATAGAAGCTATCTCCAACACTTGCATTTCATTTAGTTGATTTTGGTCCTATGCTAGGTTCATCTATACTCATGTTGCATTCATCTTTAAAGGTTCTTTCTTTTGTTGAAGCAGTTGCTCCTTTTCTTGCTTTTTTTGCATTTTGTGATTCTTATGAAAGTTTCTGATTTCTACTAATGTTTTATATTCTGGACATTTCTTTTTGATATGCTTTGTTCTATCTCAAAAGTAGCAGAGTTTTGAAGCTTCTTTTTAGTCTGTTGTTACTTTGTAATCCCAGACATGTGTAAATCTTGAAATTCTATTTATAAGGTCTGGATCATCTGTTGTTTCTAAGATTACTATCCATTGGTCTAAGAGAACTAAGATATTCTTATAGACTAGTAGCTTAATGAAAGAGATAGTACTTATATCTTGGAAGGCCTCCTTAATGCATTCTAAAATAAAGTTTTTCTTACCTATTAGGGTGTTATAAAGCCTAACTGACAAAAAATTACATTTGATATTAATTGGAAATATTCTGTTTAAAGATTGTCAGGCCCTCAGTTGCATAGTACTGTTGTTGTTTTTCATTTGAGAAAACTACTTCTAGATGAGTTTTTTTGTTCTTAATAATTATTAGTTTAATAGCAATTAGGTCTTTATCTATTTTATTTTGTATTGTCTCTACTATGTCTGTAGTAGGAATATTTTCTAAGCTATGAATTTTGAAAATTAGAGCATTCTTATTTTTGGTATTTAGCCTTTTTCTAGATAAATAAGTTGAATAAGTTACCTTTTCTCTTTTAAGTTTTGTAAAAAGATCTGATTACTGTCAAGATTTTGCAGACAGAGCTTTTAAGGTTGATTGGTCACTAGTATGCTCTGTCTCATAATCAGTAGCATGTTTCATCTTATGATTTATATTAGCTACATGCTTTATTTGTTTTGATTGATGTTCTGTTATGTGACTGTAGCTATGTGTTTTGTCTGTTTTGTCATATTTTGATGTATTTTGTTGAATGAAGTAAACAGAATAATTTCTTCTTGCACTATTTTTGTCTTTTTTTTGATATTATAATTTGTATTTTGTCTTTAACTATTTGTTTACTGTTGAGATTTTTATGTTCTGTTTTGTTGTTAACACTCTTAGTACTGTTGTAAGAAATCTTTAAAACTTTTATGTTTTCTTTGTTGTTTGCTTTTATATTGCCGAATATGACAGATTCTGCATTCAAAGTTCTTGCTTTTTTGACCTTTCTATATTGATTACTAACTGGAATACTTGACATAGTTAAGCAAGCTTACTTTCATTTTCTGGGTACAAGAGTTTTAGCCCTTGTTATTTTTTTTTGTGTAAATGCATTATGTAAGTTTTGATTATTTTGTATATTAGTTGTTTTTCATTTATAAAAAAAATAAAGAACAGGAAAAAGTTTTTTTTTAAATAATTTTTTTATATATTGCATACTAGGTAAATAATTAGTCATGTAACATTAATGAGTCTTTCTGTTTCAATAACTAAATACAGCAGATTGGATGTATAAATTTCAAAATAAAGCTTTGGCAAAACTATTCACAAAAAGTAATCAAAATTTATAACAACTATTTACTACTAATTAAGTATAGCTCTTTTATTAATCTATAAAGCAATTTTAATTGCATGTACTTTATCAATAACACATGAAAATGATATGCAATATAGTTTGAGATTGGAAAGACATTGGCAGTACACTCTATATAAAGAAATAAATTCTATTTTATATCATTTTTAATAAGAAGTAAGCAGTTTTTTGAGTACATATCTTTGGATTTTGAGCAATTCTTCAATCAATAATATAATTCTAAATTATTTCTTTTATTTGTAAATTATTATAACTAATGAGTAAAATTTCATTTTATGATAAGTTTAATGTTCAAGGTTGATACATTAAACAATTATTTAATGAAGCAAAAGAAAAGCCTGTATTTATTTTTTTATTATAAATAAGAAAAAAAAACCCTTTTCTAAAAGCTTTTGTTAAAAGCTGTATAGATTAGATATATCACTAGAGTAATTCTTAATTAAAACATATTAAAAAAAAAAAAAAGTATCAAAAAAAAAGTATCAAAAAAATGAAATCTAAAATTATTCAGTTTTTAATTTTTCTTATGAAAAAGATCTGCATATACTCTTTTCTGAACACATGAGTTTTGGAGTAGAGTAATACTTTTGTTAAAAATAAAAGTAAACAAAAAGACAAAACCAGCTAAAGTATTTACTAAAACAAAGGCCCTTGCCCTTGTTCTAAGAAAAAAGTCTTTTACAGAATCACAATATACATAAAGTATAAAAACAACAAAAAAAATAGTATCAACAAATAGCAGAAAAAAAGTAAAGAAAAATAAAGAAAATGCATCAAGCTCTTTAAGCTTGATAATTAACATAGAAGAGGCTACTAAATATAAACAAAAAAAAAAGCAAGTACTAAAAGAAATTCCTAGTGAGAATCCAACAAGCTAAAACAAACAAGTTGAACTAAAAATAAAAAAAAAACAAAAGCTATTTAAGACCAAAAAGTAAACAAGAATAATATGTTTAAAGATATTATAAACATAACAACAAACAACATATCTGAGAAACAGGTAATATTAGACAACTTAGAAAAAATTGAAAATACAACAGGACAGAAGCTAAACATAACAAAAAACTTGCAAAATAACAGTTTGTTAAATGAAGCATATAAAACTAATTCTTATACTAACTTACAAAAAAACAGTAACAGACAAAAAGGCCCAAAAGAAACATTAACTAAACAGTGGTCTAGTTTCTTTTAAAAGTTAAGAAAAGGACAGTCTACCTAATCCTTTTTCATGCCCAGAAGCCAAATCAGATCAAAAAAATAAAAATACTCTAATAATAGATATTCAAGACATGCACAGCTCTTTCAATAAAATTATAGTCTTATTATTTAAAAACCTCAAAGAGGACATCATAGCAGCAAAACAATACTTTACGAAAGAAACATGCACATACTTGAAAATTGTATTTGAAAACAAAGACAAATTAAAACATTATACTATCAAAGATATTAATATTTTTGGCAGAACCTACTTTGGCTTTATTCCTACAGATTCAAAAAAATTATTTCTTCTAATCAAGATTAGAAATGTTCTACTGGGTAACAAAAAAGCAATATCAGATGCTATAAAAGAAACCTTTGAGTTTGTTGGCAGAATTAAATCAATTAAGCCTCTACTGATTGAAGGAACACCTTACCTTATAGACCAATAGATTATAATTTTTAAGAACTCTGATGACTCTAATCTAGAAAACAAAATACCTCATTTCACACATATGTAGAACAATAAAATTACAACAAAATGGAAATCAGCATTTAAGATATGCTACTTTTGTGAAAAAGAAGACTATGTTAAAAAAGGATGTCAACAATTTCAGAACTTAGTAAATCTACAAATTAGCTACCAATAATACAAAAAGAACAAATATAACAAAAAACTCTCAAATGACTTTCAGAAGTTAAATGAGACTCTAGAAAGTACTGAACAAAGCAATAAATAACTCCTATTATCAGTGAACCCTAAGCAGCAAGAACAAAATAATACAAAAAATGATGTATATATGGTCTTAGAAGAAACTGATCCTAGTCATCAGCAAAACCTTCAGCTTCCAGTTCTAGCAGAATTAGCTACAACAAATAATAGCTCAAATAAACAAATATAAGTGATAACCCAAGAAGATTTCTTACCAGATACAGAAATGCTACCAAAAGATAAACTTGCCATTTATAGCTATAGAACACCACATCCATCTGCAAGTCACATCTTCAAAGCAGCTTTTCCTTTTAACAAAAATGAAGAAACAGATGGCTTTATCACAGTCATTAACAGAAAAACCAAAAAAGAAAACAGAACATTTAAAAAAGATAAAACAAGATCATCTCCTTACAAAAAAATTTATGAAGAAGCAAGCTAATCCTAATTCAAGGGATCCAACAACCTCATATAATTTATAACTCAAAAAGCCAAACTAAAAATAGCAACACTAAATATAAAAGAACTTAATGACAGGAAAACAACAAAATTCACTAACTCTTTTAAAATTATACAAATTAAACATAATAATGCTTCAGAAAACTAACCTTAATAATGAAAAAACATAAGAATTCTTCAAACAACAATAAATTTACAATTTAATCTGAACTAAAAAAACAGCAATTCTAGTAGGAAGCAAAGACATTAAATTCAAAAACACTCAGATAAGCCATGAAGGAAAAATAATAACAACAGACTTTGTATTTAAAAAATACTTCTTCAAGATAACAAATGTTTATATACCACCAAACATTAGCAACAGAATAATCTTCTTTAATGATTGAAAACCTCAAATCAAAGAAAATAATATAAACATTATAGCAAGAGACTTTAATGTTAATCTTAATCTCAAAAACAACAGAATAAGTCAAGCAACAGTCCAACATGATTTGACTAGAACCCAGCTTTCCAATTTAACAAAAGAATTTATTAACACAGTAGAGATGTCAAGCACCAAGTCCTTTTTAACTTATTTTAGAAAACACAAAATAACTGTTTAATAGCTATATGTTTGAACTACATTTTTATAGATGAGAATCATAAATACCTTATATTAGAAATTAGTATACACTTTAGTAATTTAGATCACCTCCTAGTAAGATACGTACTAGAATTTTTTAGTTTAGAAGTTCAACAAAGAATCTTTTAAAAATGAATTACTAAAAAAGAGGTATTTGAAGAAATTCAGAATACTGGTTTAGCAAAAAACTGGGATTTATGTAAAATTTATATACAATCAATCATCAAAGCCTTTCGAAAACCCAAAGTCTCTAAAAACAAAATGGCAAGGCTAAACAAAGATATTACAAAGCTAAGTAAGAAGCTTGCAGCAGACTCCTCAAAAGAATACCTTAATAAAAACATAGAAGAACTTAACCTCCAAATATAAAAGAAACTAACTAAGATGGCTAAGTTATAGTTAATTCAGTCAAAGACAAAATGAATTGAAAATGAAGAAAAGTTAACAAAATACTTCTTAAAATACAAAGCAAGAAAGTCACAAAGTGCTTAGTCTAAAACTGAAATATCTAAAACTTTAAGCTCAGAAAATGAAGATACATATATATATATTAAAAACCAATACATAAAAATTTACAATGAAGAAAACATAAATTTTAAGACAACAGAAAAGATTACTGAAAGTCTTCTTCAAGTACCACAGAACCAAAATGCCAATTTAGTCAAAAGAATTTTACAAGAAGAAATAATTCAAACAATACAAGGCTTTCCTAATAACAAATCATTTGCTACTAATAGGCTAACTTACAAATTCTACAAACTTATATCATTAGAAATAGCATCTGTTCTTGAAAAGATATTCAATCAAGTACTAATATAATTATACTAATTTTCAAAAAGTCAGAAAACTTAAAAGACTTAAACAACTGGCACCCAATCTCATTAGTAAATTGTGATGCTAAAATTTTTATAAAAATTATAGCAAACAGACTTAATGTAATTTGCAAGAAAATTATCTCTAATTATCAACAAAAATTTGTTTCTGGAAGATTAATAACAGACACAGCCTTGGATATAATTACTATATTAAGAAACCAATCTGACAGTTCTAAACAGCACTGGATGCTTTTAGTAGATTAGCAAAAGGCATTCGATAGAGTGAACTATAACTTTTTGAATCTGGTTCTAAGAAAAATGAACTTTAACAAAAAAATGACCAACTTGGTAGCCAATCTCTTTTCAAATCAATGCTCTATCTGAACCTTTTAGAGTAAAAAGAGAAGTATAACAAGAGGATCCACTTTTTTCCTTACTATATGTACTTGCATTCAAACCACTACTTATACAACTAGAAAGAAACATTTAAGAAATTCCTTTAAAAAACCAGTTTTTTAAACTGTTAGCTTATGCAGATAACTTAACAATAGAAATAAGATTATCACTAGAAAACGGAAACCGTTATAAGTCCGGAGCGAAATCACATGAGATTTGTTGTGTTATACGAATATGCAAGTGGAGACAGACGGAAAATTCAAAGTTACGTTTTTGATATTTTTATTATTGATGCATCAATAATGATACTTTTGGTGCATCAAAAACGTAACTTTTGTATCACTTTGCATAGAAATTAAGCGTCCTTCGCTACGCTCCGGACAATTAGACTGAATAAACATTATGCAACTTTTTGAAACCTATAAAGCTGCCTTTAATGCAAAAATTAACAAAAACAAAATCAAATTAGTGCTCCTTACAAACACAGCCTGCAGGATCAAACTTAAAGATGAATTCCAATTTACTAAAACTATAGAACAGGAAATATTAATAATTCTTGAATATAAAGTAAATACAAAAGGCATTCCTAAAAAAGACTTATAGACAACAACAATTACAAGAATAAAAAAGACACTAAAAAAATCATCTAACCAAAATCTTTCTTTTAGAGAAAAAATCTTTTTAGCCAAAGCACTTATACTTTTATGAATATGGTATGCAGCATACCTGACTCTATCAAGTAAAAAACAGATTGCAGAAATCAACAGACTTATAACACTTAGGATTAAAAACAATTTCAGAATGCTGCCTAAATACTTTATATTTCAACAATCATTTAAACAAAATGGCCTTCAAGCCTCAATAGTAGGAGATATACTAAATGCTAAACTAATCTCAGTATAAAAAAACTTCTTACTAGTAACTTTATATAGACCAAATATGAAAGAGAAAAAATTACAGAAATTCTACTTAAAAAAAGAAATATATTAATAAATCAGACATTAAAGACAGATATTATCAGATCAAAGGTTTGGCCAAAAGAATAAAACTATATCTTTGCAACAACAATCTGGTCTTGGAAACTCAAAGATATTGAAATAGAAAAACTTAACAAAGAAGAACTTTTAGTCAAAAAAATTATTAAAATTCTAAAAAAAAGACTAACATTTGAACAACCTAATTCTAGCCAACAACCTAACTGGATGCTGGTTAAAAAAACAACTAACAAGAAAAAGAACATTTTATAATACCTTTTTTATAAAACCTTATTACTAGAATACCAGCTACAACATATAAGCCTTTTTATTACAAAAAACTGCTTCTAGAATAACAATGAGCTACAAACTGTTAAGCATTTTGCACTCAAATGCAAAGTTAGCAAAGAAATCTGAAAACATGCCTATGGTCTTTTAAAAACTAACTAAACTAAGACTCTTCTAACCTCTATAAAAGAAATCTTTATAGCAACAAACATTACAAATAATGAAAGCAAACAAGCTACTCTTTGGCTGCACACAAACATAATTTATGAAATATGGTGTACTTATATCTTTTTCAAATAGAAGGATAGCAACCTCTCAAGCAGAATTCTATTTTTAATAGTAATTAAACACTTTTCAAAAACATATATACTTTGTATTACAATATAAAAAACTGTTTTCAAAAAATGAAAAATATATAAATATATACAATGTTCTTAATAATTTGATTTTAATAAAAGAGCACCACATGCACCCCTAGGTATTAACATCAGGGATAAAAAAAAAAAAAAAAAAAAAACAAAGAATAAAAAAAATCCTCTAACAGAAATGTAGTTTATCTAAAAATCTATCAATTTGTTAGAGGTTTTTTTGATTTAATCTGTTTTAAAAAAGTTATAATACTTTAAAGTTTTTATTAATAAACATTGGATGTCTTTTACTATCCGGTACTGTAGTATAAACTTTTTGAAATTCTTAAAGAAAAAGATAAAGAATTTGGTCTTAATATTAATAAAATATAAACAAAGTAACCACTTGTTTGAAACTATGATCTCTACACTATATGATCTTCTTGTTAAGTAATTTGGTACTAATTAGACTAAGTTGGCTAACATATTAAAGCAATATTTCAAATCAAAATATAACACTAGGTCTATATATTGAAATAGATTCCAAAGCATGCACTTTAATAAACACATATATAAAAATTACTAAAAAACTAATATATAAATTTTTTTTTATATATATTATAACTTAAAATTGACCTAAATTTTTAACTAAATTTAAATTAATTTTAAGTCATAATTTATTAAATTTTAGTTTTCAAAATTTAATTTTATAAAAACTGTCTCAACAGACTATATTATAGCATTTATGTATTTTTATAAAAAAAAGAACAAGTGAATTTTGATTATAATATATATAATTATTAATCTGAATTAACAAATGTTAGTCAAAAAAAAGACAAGAAAAATTGGAGGCTAGTTTTTATACCTTCTGGATT